CAGCTTGAGGGGGAGTGTTAAAGTGAGCCGAATAGGGGYAGTTTAGTCATCTCATGTTTGTTAAGTACCTTGCTTATGTGACAGTTTTATTAGAGATACTCTGCCCCACACTTAGGTAAGGGCAGTTTAGTCTTTGTAAATGTTATTAGAACCTAATAAACAATAGGGGGTCGAATGAATAGTGAATGAATGAGTTTCGACTAAACCCTTTTGTTCTCTCTTTCTCTTTTCTTCTTCATCTTCTTCTTCCTTCTCTCCTGGTTCGGGTTACTGTAGCTGCATTCGAAACAGAAATAAAGAAAAAAAAAATATAATGATGCAATACTGCAGACGACACAGTGGGCCTAGTATGTTCATTGTTCAGTTTTGGTTACATATTTATTTCTGCACTGAAAATTTTCTCTCTTCTAGGCACTCAAAGAGACATTTGAAGTCCTCTGCACCAAAGGTGTTGCTGGAAGTTCTAGTGCAGAACTACTGGCTACTTTCTGCAATAACATCCTCAAGAAGGATAGAAGTGAGAAGGGTAGTTCTAGTGCAGAACTACTGCCAACTTCCCTTTACCCACTCTTTGCCTGGACATTAACTTATATCATGAATTTTTTTCCTTTTCCTTTTCCTCTCCCATGAATATAATCTGCAGGTTGTACAGTTGCTTGCTTATGTCAGTGACAAAGACCTCTTTGCTGAGTTCTATAGGTAAGGACTGTAGTCTCTTTGATCTGCTTTCAGTCAGCATTTGGTAATGTCCATTTACATTTTAATTTTTAATTTCTCGGTATTTGCACTCCATTATTAATTGTTATTAACAGGAAAAAGCTTGCATGTCGACTTCTCTTTGACAAGAGTGCTAATGATGACCATGAGAGAAGTATTTTGACAAAGTTTAAGCAGCAGTGTGGTGGACAGTTCACATCAAAGATGGAAGGGATGGTCAGTAGTTGAAGATCATTTCCACTTTAAATTAGTAATTTTTTTTTCTGCACACATAATTCAGATATCACTAATTGAGATGGTATTTTTAATCTTCCAGGTCGCATATTTAACATTGGCCAAGGAAAATCAAGCCACTTTGATGAGTATCTTGGTAGTAGCTCAAATGCAAATCCTGGGATTGACGTAACTGTTACTCTGATGGGATTGATCATATGATCTGCTCAATAGGAGGATCTCTTACTGAATCCAGAGAAGCAAAAGTAAGCAACTTGCAAAGCTGTGAATGATGGTGAAGCAAATACAACGGCTCTCCTCACAACTCAAAAAGACTCGATATCGTTTCTTCTCTAAATAACTAATTAGGTCTCCACCTTCTGAATATGGCCGTTCACTTCCCTCTTATTTTAATCGTTTTTGGCATTTGCATTCCATGCTTTGTCTTGGCCTCTTGGGACCCACTTGGTACCCTCATCAGTCACCTCTCCCTAAAAAACAAAGCCTGCAACCTGGAACCATAATAAGAAGTTAGAAATAGCACATGCACTTGAAATAAATGTTAGGTTATTTTTAGTGGGCTGTCAAAGTCAATAGAGCAGCAAAGTGTTGTTCCTTTTGTTTTGTCTTCCGTCAGCTGGTTATTTTAAGTGCTTTCGCCTGATTGACTTGGGTTCACAGAACCTATAAATGAAAGGATAATTAGATCAATCAATGGTAACCCAATAAAATATTTCATTTTTCACTACACTCCAGTTCTAGTTTTTTTCTTTTATATATATATATATCTATATATATAATGAGATCAATCTAGTCTCTAGCTAGGTCACATTTTATTTTTGTCTCTATTGCCTTATTTATTGTAGTAGAAGTAGAACTTTGTCTCTCTATCGCCTCCCCTGAGTTAGTGAGACTGGATTGGAGAAGTCAAAAGTGGAATTTGTTGGCTGTTTTTGATAGTACCGCGGTGCCCTCAATAATGAGTGCTTTCCCCACTGGTGGGGCTCTGGTTGGTAGTCTCTGATGGGTATACATATACCACTTTTCTCTGTTCAGAATCTGGTGGTTCTTCAAGCATCCATTCGAATACTGGTTGGAGAGACAGGAGAGCACAAGAGAGGGGTGGGGGTGGGTGAGGGGCTCATTGGAAGGTATCCATTCCAACTGAGGAAAAAGCACCTGCCATTAATAATTACTTAAGTCATAAATGAAACTTGTGGTGGGCCTTTGACAACTTTTTGCTTCTAGAAAGCATATTAATTTCATATCAGACGTCATGGAGGTTTGAATTTGATTCTGTTCCCCTACTGTAATCACTTGGTGACATACTGACATCTCAGCTAGCACCATCAATCAGTAGAGGTGTCAAATGGACGGATTTGGTCCAACCGGATCTAGTCCAATGTGAGTCCACTTATCAATGGATTGGACCCAATTCAGTCCAAATTTAATATAAATCAAATTCATTCCAATCCATTAAAATGTAAATGGATTGGATTGGATTCAATCGAAACTGAATGAAATATCAAAAATTAAATAAAAGCACTTTTGTAAAAGTACTTTGATAAAAACATTTTCATAAAAGTTATTTTACAAAAGCACTTTATTAAAAGTACTTCGGAAAAGTGTTTTTGTAAAAGTATTTTTATAAAAGCACTTTTGAAAAGTACTTCCATAGATTATAAAAGTAATTTTACAAAAGTACTTTATAAAAATACTTTCATATAATGTTTTTATAAAAGTACTTTCGAAAAGTACTTTGAAAAAGTGCTTTTATAAAAGTGCTTTCATAAAATTACTTCCGTAAAAGTGATTTCGTGTAAAAGTACTTTCATAAAAGTGCTTTCATAAAAGTACTTTTGTAAAAGTACTTTGTAAAAGTGATTTCGTAAAAGTATTTTTGTAAAAGTGCTTTTATAAAACTTCTGTAAAAGTGCTTTCATAAAAGTACTTTTGTAAAAGTATTTTTATAAAAGTGCTTTCATAAAAGTACTTTTGTAAAAGTATTTTTATAAAAGTGCTTTCATAAAAATACTTTTCATAAAAGTGCTTTTTATAAAAATGTTTTCGTAAAAGTACCTTCTTAAAAATACTTTCACAAAAGTGATTTTATGTTGTTTTCAGTTTTGATTGATTTCAAATTGGACAAGGGTTTGACGGATCGGATTATTGGAAATTTGGTTTAGGTTTAATTCAGAACAATAAGAATATGGACCAATTTATTTTGGATTGATCCAACCCAATAATTATAATGGACCATCCAAATCCAATTTAAAAATGTTTGTTTTGGAGTGGATTCAAACTAAAACCGGTCGATAGACACCCCTACCATCAAGGACCCAAAGTCAATATTGCTTTGCTAGTTCTTCTCTCAGGCCAGTAGAAAACATACATGCATGATCTGTTGAGAAAGTTCTTTCTCCATAAACAAGGGAACACCCATTATCATAATTTGATTAAGGGAGAGATTTTATGGTGGATAGATGCTTAATTGGCTACTCCCATCAATTGCAGGTCTCTTTCCTTTCCAGGAATCTAAATGACAAATTAAACAGTAAAAGTGATTGCTTATGTTCATTGATTCTTCTTACTTCTCCATTATTTTATTTTAGGAGAAGAATCTTCAAAGACAAGAACACAACAGGAGAAAGTTTTATATAGGCAAGCGGCTCCACAGTCGTCCATTAATAGTCGTGAAATGTACAAAGGAAAAGTTACATAAAACAGTAATACCTATGAAAGATGTAGACTGATTTGAAGTACAGAACCTATGCTTTTTGTTTTCGGCTCTACCCTATTCACAAGAGTTGAAATCAAACTACCAACACTACTACCAGTATGTCATATTTTCACATAAAAATCTAATAGGTGGTGTGGTGAGGACCGAGGAGTGGGATCTTAAGTTGAGATCTTGGTCGTCTGAATCTTGGCGAATTCCAGAGTTTTCTTCCCTTGCAGTTTGTTAGTGACGTAGTGGCGATTGTATTCTCCATGGTAGTATGTTCTATACAAGCAAGGATGGTTGTCGTCCACCAACTCGGGCAGGGGGCCGAGCTCGATCTCATAGCTTGGAGCGTAGAAAGTGACAATTGAGAGTCGGTCCTTCTCCTTGTGTGTCACTGCTCTGTGTTCAACACTCTTGTACTTCCCATTTGTGAGAACCTATATATACATATGATCATCAGAACTTAGAATTAGAAATGGGCCGTCTTTGATGAAATTGACGATGATGTAACAAATTAGCTAGTTGACTAGATACCCTAATTAATTAAGGACAATATATATGCTTACTTCCATGGTGTCCCCTATGTTGATGACAAGAGCATTTGTCACGGGTTGAACAGGCACCCAGGTGTTGTCCTTGAGGATTTGAAGGCCAACTGAGCTACCTAAGCCTTGCTGCAACACAGTTAGGGCGCTTCCATCTGAGTGTGGACTCAGACCCAACACGAGATCAGGCCTCGAGCATGGTGGGTAGTAGTTCATTCTCACTGCTTGCACAGACACCCCGAACATATCATTGAACGTATCCTGGTTCAAGCCCAGGGTCATGGCTATGAATCTCAGTAGAGTCTGGCATAGCTTCCTTACTTTTGTTGAGTACATCTCAAGAGTCTCACTGCATATATATATATGTATCCAAATTAATTAATTAAAGCCCCAGATATAAATGTATTACAGCTAGAAGCGTTAAACCCCACGAAATTTGTATTAATTAATGATGCCAACCAGAATTGTTACGTATATATACATACCTGAATTTAGCTGGGTTTGTCGGCCAAAGTTTTGGGTTTCTAATGTAGTGAGGCTCAACCCCAAGAGCCAACATGTTGCACCAGTCCAGCTTCTGATCCTCCGAGAACACAAAGGCATGGCCATAGCCCTGGATGGTCCCTGGTGCCATTGGATATTTCTGTTTCTCCTCCAGTGGTAACATGAAGAAATCCGTTGCCACCTTTTCTATACGCTCCAGCAGATCCTTGTCAATCCCGTGGTTTATAACCTATATATATGTTAATAACGTGTTTAGTTAAGTAAGAGGAGAGATTCAGAGTTTGTAATTCAGCAGTTAAATTATATATTAGATTGGAAGAAATTAAACATATATAACGATTAACGAACGTAGCCAATGAAGAGAAGTTTATTGCATGAATTTTACCTGAAAAAAGCCCCACTCCTCACAGGAGGCAGCGAGCTTCATTAGTTCTCTCCGAGCTGCTTCATCATCACCGCCTTGAACAAGCTTAGAAAGATCGATAACTGGAATGTCCAGGGATTGAGATGGGGATGAGAAGGTGGGTACCGTTGGCCGCTCAGCCATGTTTCGGACATACCTCTCTGGGACCGTTGTTGGTCTAACCTTTGTCAGCTCTTGAACATCATCTATGTGGCCGATCTTGATGGGAGGAATGAGTACAGGAGCCATTGACGAAGTTGGATATTGGAGCTTTAAAGCGTGCTGATATTCTAAATTGGGTATGTTGGTAGCTTGGGCTAATTAAAGAGATGCCTCTATGTCTCTATATATAGAGTTGGATGACAAGACTCGATGCACAATTGCACATATATGGTTGAACTTGGAGTGACACAACTATATATATACATATATATGGGCTCACCTAGGAGTGTTCATGGGTCAGGTTGGATTGGTTTGAATCATTTTTTTCAATCGAATTCATCTAATCGGTTTATTTATTGACTAAATCGAAACCGATTGACCTTGAAGTAAAACCGACTCAAACTTGAAGGATCAGTTTATCGATTTAGTCAGTATATATATATTAAACTAAAATATCTATTTATATTTAAGTTTATTTCTTTTCAATTTTTATGCAAAACCAAAATATATATTTAAATTGATTAATTTTTTATACAAAACTGATTTTTTTGTCAATATATATTTAAATTTATACAAAACTGAATTAAATATTGTACCATTGTATTATATTTGTATTGGTTTTACATTTTTAGATTTTATCATAAATAACCAATTTTTTTCCTAAAGTTCAAACAAAACACAAATAAAGTGTATCAACATTTAACATATAGGGATTAATTACTTAAAAATATAGGATCAATTCGATTTAGTTTAGCTTCGGTTTTCATACATGAAAACTAAAACCAAACCGAATTATCAGTTTATTTTTTTTATACAAACCGACCAATGACTTCAAAAAACCAACCAACTCAGATTGAGTAGGACTGGTTTGGTCGGTTTAGTCGGTTTAGTCGGTTTAGTCGATTTGACATTTAATGCAAACACCCCTATGCTCAGGTAAATGCACTAATACTTGTACTCTCACAGACAATATGATTTCTATGATAAATATAGCTGCTAGACCCTATGCATGGATGATCTGTAAACCCTAATTTGCACCATTGGATCGATTTCAGAAGGTGATCAGGTGTATGGTTCTTCCTTCCTCTGATGCAGCAAGCTCTAGGCTATATATGGCCTATTAATGAGAGGTATCAAATTGGGTCAGGAAGAGCAATTATTGTGTTTGAATGGCTCACAATTAATTAAACCGTATTGCATCACTCATGTATTGAAATGAGTTATATTGTCTGTCTGTGATCTCAGTGGCCAGATACCCTTATTTAATGACCTTAGTGTATTGATAAATCTTATGGAGGATGCCATAATTTACACCAATGTCTTTGTTTTGTCTCCCTTGTGCTTATTTACTGTTAAACAAACAATTGTTATATCAGCTATTTATTTGCTTGGTGTGGTCAATTTTGGCAAGGTTGTTGATAAATTCTAAGCAATTAAGACATTTGTTCATTGATCCGAGAGGCTGAACAAGTCCAGGTGGTTGGTAAATTATCGAATAAGAAGGGCTCTTTCTTTTCAGACTAAATTTTTTAAGGGTTCGACTATGATATAGAAAAAATATGATATAAAATTTTTTGATCAATCAATTGGATTTATAAACGTGGTACCCAATCAAGTGTTATTTATCAAAATTCATAGGTGGGTTTTGATTGGTCAAAACTCTTCCCATACCATATCTTTTCTACATCATAGCTAGACCATTAAGAGTGCTGGGTCTAGGGGTGATCATCAAAAACTTAACTGAACCAAAAATTCTAGTTAACCAAACCGACCTACCGGTATACATAAATTTATATATATTATATATTTTTTCATATATATTATGTTATCTATATATTATTAATTAATTTATATGCATTATACATAAATATATATTTATAATATATAATATATAATATATAATATATTATTTATTATTTATAATATATTGTTTTATATGTATTATAAATATAAAAACCCAAAAAACCGACCAACCGACGAATCGAACCATGAGCACCCCTAACTGGGTCATGTTCCCATATAATGCATGCATTCAATACATGACTATAAGGGTGTCAATGGACCGGTTTTGGATTGGACCTCATCCAGTCCAAAATCAATTTGGACGGATTGGATGGACCAACAAGATATATTGGATTGGATTGGACCAATCCGGTCCAAAATATTTATTAGATTGGATTGGACCTGGTTCATCCATAACAAATTTATATTAGATTGGGTTAGATTAAACCAATAATATCTGGTCCATTGATATAGGATAAGAATATATGTGTCAATTAGGGGTGCCAATTGGACTGGATTTGGTCCAATGTGAGTCCATTATAAATGGAATAGGTCCAATCCAATCCAATGAATGTTTTGGACCAATTTGGACCAGTCCAATCTGTTCAAATTCATTTTGATTTAGATTGGTTTCAACCCAAATCTGGTCCATTGACACATATGTTCTTATCTTATATTAATGGACTGGATATTGGCTTAATCCAACCCAATCCAATAAAAATTTGTTACAGATGGACCAGATCCAATCCAATCTAATAAATATTTTGGACCGGATTGGTCTAATCCAATATGTCTTATTGGTCCGTCCAAATTGATTTTAGACTGGATGAGGTCCAATCCAAAACCGTTCCATTGACACCCTTAATGTCAATGAACCGGGTTTAGGTTGAAACCAATCTAAATCAAAATAAGTTTAAACAAATTGGACAGTCCAGACATTGAATTGAATCAGTCTAAATTGATCCAAAACATTCGTTAGATTGGATTGGACGTGGTCCATTTATAATGGACTCACATTGGAGTGAATCGGATTTGATTGCTGGACTAAATTCAGTCCAATTAACACCCCTATTTAATGACTACGATGGTGTATGTAGGTATATATTTATGAAAAGATGTGTACGTATGTATCATGCATCAATGGTAGAGAAGGAGATCAGGCTTAAGGATGGAATATTGGAATCTGGGTTTGAAGCAGCTGTAAGCAGTACGTAGTTGGAATATATGGTTATCTCATGGGCACAATTTAGATGTGCGGTTATAGTGATGGCCTACTCTCAAATTGCAAGCACCTATCCCCATTCTCCCCGACCCAACCAAATATAGTGTTATTACCACCATCAAAATTTTAAGGTTTTCGTTCCACTTTTATCTTTTGTTTCTTCTTTTCTTATTCTCTCTCAACAAGAACAAAACATGAATGAAAGACAAGAAAGGGTTCTATAGCTATGTTTATTTAAAAAGAAAAAGAAAGAAAGAAAAACTCATAATCGTTGTACATGATCACCACTGAATAAGCATTCTATGCTTTAGCTTAAATGCGGTAACTATTGATTAGTTGCTAGCATCATCAGGAACCTGCACAAACAGGTTTGGGTCCCCCTTTTTGTTCATGTACGTGCGCTTGTGGTTGACGCTAGTACAACTGGATAGATTTTTCAGTTCAGACCGGTGTCATGTATGGGAAAATTTGAAAGATTTAATAATTTTATTTTTTATTTAATGTTGATTTATAAAAAATAATTATTGTTAATTGAATATGAATAAATATTTTTTAATAAATTTAGTTTTATTAATAATTTGAAGTAATTTTAATAATTTTTATTCTTTTTTATTTTTAAATGAAAATTTGATTAACTTTAAATAAATAAAAATAATTATAAAAGATAACATTTTTATTAATTCCACTAATAATTAATAATTATATAGGATTGACAACGGGGTGGGTTCAGGGTAAGGCACCCCACCCCTTTCCCTACCCCATAGTCAAGACACTCTATTTCATCCTCGCCCCGTCCCTAGTGTCACACGGGTTTAGGGCAAAGTAACCACTCCTCAATGTCGAGCGAGTTCAGGGGCAAGGCACCCCACTCCTCATCAAGGATGGAGAATCCTCGAATTTCCCTGGCCCGTCCCCAGTATTGGGCGGGTTCAAGTAGAGGTGTAAATTGGGTCGTACTGGGTCGACACGACACAACCCGCATGTGGCCCGCACAAAGTGCGAGTCGTGCCGTGCTAGCCCATCAAGCGTCCCGGGCCATGCCTCCCTCCTCTAGGATAATTTGGGGGGTCGGTTCGGCACGACCCACATCTCGAACCCGCACGGGCCCGTGTCGTGCCATGGGTTGGGCTGGCCCATGGGCCGGGCCTTGGGCCAGGCCATGCCACACACCAAGCCAAGCTCAAGGCAAGGCACCGACTCCCCATCCAAGGTTTTTAAAATTGGACCAGATAGGGAACTGTTTTGGGGTCGAACGGTTTGTTCGGTCCGAACGGATGACCCACTCTGACAAAAAATAAAAAATTAGAAAAAACAAAAAAAAGGCAAAAAACTGTTGTTTGGGTTGACGGTTTGGCTTGGACAAAAAGCGATTTTGAGGTGAAACGATGCCCAGTTCCCAATTTTTCGGTCTAACCATCTGGTTTGATCCAGTTTTGAAAACACTGTCCTCGTCAACCCAATATTCAATTTGATGATAGAAATGATCAAAAGGATATATTGAGTATCAACCACATGGTAAATTTTTAAAAGTACACTAAATTGTCATTAATATTCAAAAATGTAATTTTATAAAAATTTTGAAAAATTTATTGTACTTGTGTAATTTTGAAAATTTATTCAAATTTATTTAATTTTTATTAAATAATTTATTTTCTTTTTAAATGGTTTACTTACAGAATTATACTAATTTAATTTCTAATATAAACTAACCAATAATTTCATTTTTCCAATATTATACAAATTTATCTTAATAATTTGTGTAATTATTTGTTCAAATTATAGTTTTCCATTTCCCATAGTCATTTATCTTTAATAATTTTCAATAATTTGCAATGAATATTACATAATTTTTAATGGTTTTCCAAAATCTATCAAATGTAATAAGTTTTCCTAAAATTTCCAAAATATTCTAAGAATTATATAATGCATTTTAAATAAACTTTCAAATACTTTATATCTTTGAATTTCAAAAATGTTATTTTAAGAAAATTTTTGAAAAATTTATTGCATTTGTGTAACTATGGGGATTTATTGAATTTTTTTAAATTGTTAATAAATATATATTATTATTTGGTAGTTTACTAACAAAATTACACTAATTTATCTTTTATTTTTCAATATAAATTAATTAATAATTTAATTTTCTAACATTATAATATTTTGTTCCCCCATTTGTATTTGGTTATT